CATATGCACCTTATAGCAAATTCTTAAAAAAAAAATAAATTTAGACAGCACTACATAGAATATACTACCATTGTAAGAAGCAGAAAAAAATACATTTGTGTGTGGATGTATATATGTATACATATATTTGTATAAAGGGTGTTCAAAAATTTCATAGAAAATGTATATTTGAAAAAACTATGCATGTATTTAAAAGTATTTTTTGCACCAAAATAAACTTATATTTTAATTCCATTTTTTATTAATTTTTTTGAAATCCCCACAAACATATATATCCATGTTTCTAAAGGACCAATTAGACTATCTGGGGAACATTGCACACGAACCCACTAGCACTGGTTGCCTTCACAGAGGGCGAATGGTAGCTGGGAGATGGGGGTGGGAACTTCTTTTTATTACATGTATTTTATATATGCTTTTCACTTTTCTATTATATGAATGCATTCATTACTAAAAATTAATTTTAAAAATACCGTAAAATGTAATTTTCCTTTACTTTATAATTTGATTTAATTAGCCTAAAAGTGACATTCCATTTCTGTTCTTATTTATAGATCTGTTAACTGAATAGGGCCAGCTGGTGGCATGGCAGTTAAGGATACTGGATCCTACATGACTGAGTATGAAGTTCAAGTTCCAGACCCGACAACTTTAAAAACATGCCAGGCTCATGTGCATGTGTGCCCAAAATCCCAAGAGGAGAATGAAGGAGAACAAACCAACGTGAGGCCATCCCCTCTGGAGGAGGATTTCTCACTTTTTCTCTCTCTGTCTCTCTCTAGCATATGCACATGCCTTGTAGCAAATTTAAAAAAATGAAAACAAATTAGAATTTAAAAAAAACTATGAATATGCACACGTTGAAAAAAAAAACTGGAAATAAACTCGTAAGAGGGGTTATCAGAGTGTGAACAATGCTTCCTCAGGCTCCTTGAAATTCCCTTTTGCCAAATGTCAGAGTCATCCCTGCCAGAGGGCTGCTGAAAACCTTCCTGGATAAAGACTCCTGGGTGGGGGGATTTACTGAAAGACTTTCATAGGATGAACGTCATCACAGAGAGTCAGGATTGACAGAGACAGGATAAGTGGGTGTTGTCACATTTCCCCAGCTTCCCATCTCCCTGCCCCAGGAAATGGCTGGTGTCATACCTTGGTCAATCTGGGTGAGAAGATGACCACAGAGTAGAAAAGGAGTCTGGGGTCAGAGATGGCTAAGAGAACTAAGCTCATACCCTTCAGATGCACAGAGACCTTGAGAACACTTTGGACTTCCTTAGAAAAGCAGAATGAGGGTTCACGCCGATGTTCTTAGCTCTCAAGGACTCAGGAAAATCCAGACGGCATGTGGTTGCACGGTCGTGCTTATATTATGGAGTAATCCTACACATAACCAAGTGCTCACCTGCCTTAGCACTTCTGCCTGGTTGTAGGTAGTGCATGTTTGTAATCTGAGGAACTCAAAGGCTTCCCATCTCCAGACAGCCTGTACCAATGGGCGGGCTGATCAAGTTCAATTTCTTTTTTTTTTTTAATGTGAGAGGGTGTGTGCATGTGAGAGAAAGAGAGAGTGTGTGAGCAACTCCCAACGGGACTGGGTCACACCCCAATCTATTTTCTTTTCCAATCCATCAGGATCCTGAGCATGTGCCTGGTGTGTTTTTCAAGCTGTAGGGGTCAGGACTTGAACACTGGCCCTGTGACTGGACAGCTTCCTCTGCACAGCGCTTAACCAATGTGCTATGGAGCTAGCCTAAGACCAATTTTTTTTTTTTGAGGGGGCAAGGAAGCAGAGACTTTCAAATCGCCTGAGCATTTTCCCTGCACGTAGAGTTTTGGCCAAAGTAGACTGACTGTCCAATCGTCCAAAAATGGATCCACCAGAAGTTTTTATGAAGTGTTTGCACTTGCACTAATTTGTTTAATCCTTCATCAAACTGGATAGAAAGCCAAGGAGAGATGCTGGGATGGCGTATTCACTTCCGGGCTTTGTCACATCACGGTTGTAGCTGTTGTAACAAGGTAGAGGTACCGACAACTGGTCAACTCAAATAACAGGACTCTACTATTGCAGTCTGGAAGCTAGAGACCTGAAATCGGGTGGTCTAAGTCAAGGACCATGCTCCCTCCAGAGACTTGAGGAGAAGATTCTTCCTAGCCTCTTCCAACTCTGGTGGCTGCTGGCAATTTTTGTCGTTCCTTGGATTGTTTTGGGTTGTTGGAAAAGTCATGACACATTTTAATACATCATGACTTTTCTGGCGACGCGATACCTCATTCCAACCTCTTTGTCCCTTGTCATATGGCCGTCTTCTGCTCTTCTCTCTCTGTTTTTATCTGCCCATCTCCTCTCACATAAGGGCATCGGTTGGATTAAGGGCTCTCCCTACTCTGGAATGACCTCACCTTAACTAGTTATATCTGCCACCACCCTATTTCCAAATAAGGTCACATTTGGAGGTATTTGAGGTTAGGACTTCAGCATACCTTTTTGGGGGACACAATTCAACCCAGAGCAGATGAAAGACGTACTAAGTTTTGCTGAATTTTCCTCAGTATGAGGATGGGGGTATAGGGAAGTTCATTCAGTCCTGAACACTGGACACCTCTGTGTCTGGTCCAGATAAGAGACTAAGCTTGTCCTAAAAAGCTTCCAGAGAACTTCCTTCTCTGCTTGTCTGCCTTCCTCAAGGAACCATTGCTCCCTCCCCTCGTGCGGTACTTTAAGGTTGACCAAGTACCGGGTGTACCTCGTCCCATTCAATCCATTGAACGTGCACTGAAGGATATATCACCATGCCTATTTTACAGGCAGGAAACCAAGGCGAGATGTGGTCACTCCTGAAGTATAAGTGGGCTTTGCAAAGTTTGTGGAGAAATGGAATTCATGCATGAGTTTATTATGGCACACACACAAAAAATTGAGATCCATGTGTAGTTTTTCATAATATATATTTTCCATGAACTTTTCAAATGACCTTTTAAAATGATCCTAACCCTAACTCTAACCCTAATTATTAACCCTAATAATCTTTTAAAATTATACTTGCTAGAGAGAGAGAGCCAAAGTACCCCCCCAGTGGGGTGTGGTCATGTCCAAAATCCCTTTTCCTCCATTTTCCCATCCCTTCAGGATTTGAGGCATGCATGCACATATACCTGGCTTGTTTCCCAAGCTACCGGGACTGGGATTCGAACTGCAGCCAGTCATGCCAGACCCAGCTTTCTACACACAGCATTCTATACACTGTGCTACCAGGCCAGCCCTCCATGAACTTTTTTTTTTCTTTTTTTTTTTGGAGAGGTTTTTGCTATAGGGCGTGTGCGCTCGCCAGACAGACAGAGACATAGAGACAGAAAGTGAGAAATCACCCCCCAGGGGGGATGGTCACGCCGCAATCCCTTCTCCTCCATTCTCCTCTAGGGATCTTGGGCACACACGCACACGCGCCCGGCGTGAGTTTTAAGCCACCGGGTCCAGGACACGAAAGGCGGTCGACTACCTGGGAGTTCAGCAACATAGCCATTACGCTAACTTCTTGTTCCCAGTCCTCCATGAACTTTTGATGAATCCCTCCTAAATGTGCGGAGAGCCCAGGTCTGTCCACCTCCCATGCCAGGTGCTGTGTTTCTGGAGACCAGGCAGGCGGCCATAATCAGTGGCCAGGTGGGCTATGGTTCAGTAAGGTTTGAGGAACACGCACTGGATGAGAACCTAGGTGTGCTTGGAAATTGGTTCCCCTCTCCCCTGTGTTCTTCACCACACCTGGAACTTCATAGGGCTTGTGGGAGGGGCCCTTTAAAAATCTCATAGAAAGATAGAAGTAAAGTTCAAGTTTATTTTGGTGCAAAAAAAAAAAATGAAATCCATGCATAGTTTTTAAATTTTTTTTCACAATAATACATTTTCCAAGAACTCTTTGAAGACCCCTAGTCTTTCTCCCTTAGGGGGGAAGACAATCAACTGAAGGGGTGAGGCTCCAGTTACTGACCCAGGGTCCACCCACTTCCTGCCGCTCCCAGGTTTTACAGGCTGGGATGCCCATTTTTCAAACTGCTTTTTGTGGTAGCAGAACCCCCAGCCTTTTAAAAAGAAAAATAAGAACCCCAACTTATAAAATGGATGCAAATGGGGCCTAAGGTGAGGGTCTCTCCCCAGCCCCCTCAAACAGCCACCTCAGGTCCTGGCTTTCTGAGTGAGAAAAGTGACAAAGAAAAGAAAAAGAAATGCAAGAAGCAAGTAACTAAATGATCCCCCGGTATTCGCCTATTATGGTTAAAAGGTGCACTAGCAGTAGTGTGTGGGGTTTGGACGGTACAGGATTCTAGTTAAAATGCTGAAGGTATGCTGAAGGTATTGTGGTTTTAGCGCATTCTCAACTGTTTTGGAGAAGGTGCTCTCTGCAACTTGTTTCAAAATGAGGTGTGAGAGAGAGGAAACCCGACTTCGGATACAGCAGCACTTCGTTGTATCAGAACCAGCAAATCCAGACAGTTCGACCTTATTCTCTTCCTTCTATTGTACTATTGAGTATGTTTGCAATTATGCGTAATAAAACTTTTTTTAGGCTCCAAAGGCTGAATCGTGCATAATGAACAATGCAACCTTGGTCACTCTTTGAAGAGCAACCACAAGTTGAAAGAAAAAAAGCAAGAGAAGGTGACTCCAGAAAGTGTCAGGAGCGTACACAGCGAGCGAAGCACAGCCACCTACCATGTCCCCCAACCTGGACAACCCTGTCCTGCCTTCCTCTGCTGCTGGCAACTCAGCTTCCAGACTCCCCAGGGTAGCAGCCTGCGCACCGCGGGGCCACCGGCACCCTGGCTGCCCACCGGCACCTTGGCTGTCCACCAGTCCAACTGTCCTTCCTCCTGGCTATTGGTATCACCTGCTCCAAGGCCTCTGGCATGCTCTCTTCCTTGTTCCACGCGGAGTTCGAACCCGAAACCGCCTGCCGCCCACACCGCCCCGGTCCGGTAGCTCGGCGGCGGCCAGCACTCACCCACTGCGCTCCCCAGTTCGCTGCGCGCTCCGGCTTGGCTGCGGTCTGCTGGAAACTGAAAGTAGCGGCGGAGAGCTGCCTAGCTCGAGCTTGGAACTGGCGGCGGCTGCCGAGAAATCACGTGGTTTCAAAGTACCAGCCAGGACTCCCTCGCACACTGCGCTGGGACTGGGCACACCCACTTTGCCGCAACTCGAGCGCCTCTGGGGCGATCTTGGCAAACCGGACCCTAGGACCCTTCCGAGAGACAGGCCAGGAGATGCAGGGGCACTCATGCCTCTCCGCCTCTCCCAGATGCCAAACTGAGGTATAGGGGTGCCGTTCCCGCACCTGGCTCACCAGAGAGGACCCGGCGGACAGGAGTCAGGGCGTTGCTGGAGGGACCCCGGCTAAGACCCCCCTCTCCCTGCCTCCTAGGAGACTAGACAGGGTGGAGGGGAGGAGGTGCACTGAGCAGAGGAGACCTGGAACCCCCTGACTCTGGGGGGGATTGCTGTCTAGGAGGAAAGGTAAGAATGCAGAGGCTACCTGTCTAAGTGACCTGCCAGGTGACCCAACAAACGCATCTCATTTCTCTTCGCCTTAAGCCTAAAATACAAGTATTCCCCCACTTCACAGAGGAGCACCTGAGGCTCAGGAGGGAGGTGATGGAAATTACCTGAGTCAGATCACAGGCCAGAGAGGGAGGTGCAAAGGAGGGAAGTGGGGAGATGGGTAAGAGAGTGCTGACTCCCCATTGAAAATTTTGTAAACCCCCCACCCCCCCAGGCGCCCTGGGATGAGGGGGCTCCTCTCCTCCTGCAAAAGGCATGTTCCTCCCCTGCCTTTGGGAAACCCTGGTTTTCTCCTGGGAACCGACTGTGAGTGGGTGGCGTCCTGGTCTTGGAGGCCTGCCTAGGTGAGAGGGTCTGGGCTCAGATGGGGACCCACCCTAGTCAGGACTTGGGGAGGTCAGGCCTGTTTGGCCAGCCCCTTGCCCTCTGGGACTCCATATCCCAGTCTGCTAACTGCACCCCTCCCGTGGTACAGGGGCAGGTAAGTGCCCTCCCAGCTCAGACCTGGGGAGATGCTTGCCAGCGACAATGAAGAAAGCTGGAGGAATGTACCCATTTTCCCTTCTGGAGCACAAAGGAGCCTCAGGGTCTTCTGGGGTCCCAGCCCGGCTGGGCTGTGCAAGGGTCAAGACTGGGTGACTTCTCTGCCTGCCTCTTGTGGTGATGAGAGTTTCTGTTCAAGGAAGGAGCTGCCGGGCTGCCAAGTTATCCTGGTAGAGATCTGGAGGCCTCCTGGAGGATTTGAACTTTCCCAGCACCTCCCCCCTCCTCTCCTGGGCGTACTCTTAGGTAGAGTAGGCTCCCAACTGGGGTCAAAGGCTAATCTGCCAAGGCCTAGAATTCCCACATTGGATTCAGGGACTGCTGAGACCACCAGAAGCTTCCCGCCCTCCCCCAATGATGCTCTGCGTTGGCTTAGGAAATCAGACTGTTGCTTGGGCCCTTAGGGAGAGAGAAGCCTGAGGCAGCCTTTGGAGGGGGCAGGAAATGGTTAGAAGGAGCCTGGCTCAGAAGATGGTGTCCCCTGATCCCTATTCTTCCCAGATCTGAGGGGGTATCTCACTGCTGAGCTCCACTCAGCCCCTCTCTCCCTGGTCATTAAAATAAAGGCCACACCCCTTTGCCCCTCCCATGTCATGGCCTCATCACTCACCCTTTCCTCTCTCCTCTCTCTGCCTCACAGGCCTCCTTGAGATTTCTTGAATCTGCCATGATTCCCTCTCCCCCGGGGACTTTGCACACATCAGTGTCTACTATGCTTCTCCCCACCCCTTCTCACTTGGCCAATGAGTTTGGAGGGTACTCCACACACCTGGAGGAAGTTGAACCTGGCACCTCCCAAGACTGAGATGGTAGGAAGAGACCTTTTGTGCTGTAGCTTGAGGGCCAGAAGGTGAAGATAGGATTTGAGCATAAAATCTCAGCCAATCAGAACTTCAGGTCCTGGGATAGGGGGTGGGGTGGTCCAAGGATGGACAGCAGCTGGGATGGAGGATTCCCTAATTGGCAACTGATGACCCCCCCTTGGGAATCCCCCACCTCAAGGCTCTAGATGCCTTAGGCCCTGGCCCAGGATCCAAGGCTGGCCCTGTTTCCTCCTTCCTGCCCATTGTGTGAGCTACCCAAGGTCCCCGAGCAGCTTCCTTTTTCCGTTTGCATCTGTGTTAGATTCTGCTGCTCCTGAGGACCCTGACGGATACATCCTCTGAGTCCTGGTCACCTGCTCTCCCTCAGAGGCCTGCTGAGTGAGCTGTGGATGGTGCACATGAACTTAGAGGGGGAGATACTGGAGGGTGGATGGGTGACTGACATAGATTCCCAGACAGGTTGGGGCTTGATCTGGCCTTGGAAGGGTGGTAGGGGCTCTGGAGGGCTGTTGGGAACAGAAGGGATCCTGCCAGGGTTGGGTCTGATTGGGACTGTCCAGCAGAGAAGGCAGCCCCAGTGTGATAGGAACAGGAAGTTCTGGCTGGGAGCAGTGGATTCTAAGAGATGCGTTTGGAAGATACTCAGGGGCCTGATCAGGGACAGCCTTGAATGCCTAGGTGAGAGCTTTGGACTTCTTCTCCCTGGCACTGAGGAGCTCGGAGGGTGTGGGAGCAGCTGCCATGGAAGGGTAGAAAGGAGGATGGACTGCCAGGGCTGGGCTTGACAGCTTGGTGTAGGAAAGGGACAGGACCAGTGACAAATGTCCCTCCCTCTCCCCACCTTCCTGTCCCCCAGACACAAAAGCACCACCCTCCCAGCTCTTAGACACAGCATTTTAATGTCAACAGGCCTTTAGGGTAGGGAGTGCTGGGAGCCAGTTTCCACCTCCCTTCACCCCTGATCCCAACCATGATGGGCGATGGACGGAGACCCCAGGGTTCTGGCCATGAGCCTGGTTCATGCCTTCTGGTATGAACTCCATCTCAACCTCTTTGGAAGCATCTAACTCAAGCTCTGGAGGAAGTCCACCAGCAGGTGCTCAGGGAAGCCGAAGTCCATCTGCAGCAGCAGGAAGCCCTAGGAGCGGGAAGAGGGGAGAGGGGTGGGCTGGCTGACTCCCAGGCCACCAGGAGTGAGATGGCGAGGGCTCCCTCTGCCTGTTCCCAGCAGCAGGTCCCCCTGAGAATGCTGTCTGGGGGCTCCCTCCCAGGACACTGGGCCAGCAGTAGGCTTTATACTCACATCCTGAGTGATAATCTCAGGGTCGATGATTTCAAAGAGGTCCAGGCCTTTGCTGTTCATGAAGGCTGTGAACACCACCTCGAGCCCTGGGGCAAGGAAGGAAGCCCCAGTCAGCCTTCTTGGGGAGCAGGACCATTCTGAAGCTCATGGACCATATCCATAAATATTGGTTTCACTTTGATCGATTATAGAAGGTATATCAAGTGCTCCTGGGGGTGAGGGGTGGCAGAGGCGGCCTGCTGTCAGGACTGCTCCTCTCCTGCCCCAACAAATTCTACTCTGCCCCAACCTTAAGCCCCTGCCCACAATGGCCACAGTTCTACAAGTAGCTGGGTCCACCCTGCTTAGAAGGACACTTAGGGAGCAACTGTCGCCCCTCAGCCTGTCCTGGCGGTCACTCCACACCCTGCAAAGCTTCTTGAAGTATTCTGTGCAATCGCAGAGTGGCGTCCCTGCATAACTTCTAGAACACAATGTAATACATCCCCATAGTCCCATAGTGTTAGCTCCACAGTACAGATGGGGAAAACTGAGGTCCAGCGAGGCCAAGACATGCAGCCAGAATACTCTTCCTCTCCTCTCCTCTCCTCTCCTCTCCTCTCCTCTCCTCTCCTCTCTTCCAAAGCCACGTGGAAAAGCAGGTGGTCAAAACAAAGGCACAGCTGGCTCAATATGCTCTTTGGAGAAAAGAGCAGAAAACAGTGGGCAGAGCCTTGTTCAAAACACCCCGGGTGAGGGGTGGCAGAGGCGGCCTGCTGTCAGGACTGCTCCTCTCCTGCCCCAACAAATTCTACTCTGCCCCAACCTTAAGCCCCTGCCCACAATGGCCACAGTTCTACAAGTAGCTGGGTCCACCCTGCTTAGAAGGACACTTAGGGAGCAACTGTCGCCCCTCAGCCTGTCCTGGCGGTCACTCCACACCCTGCAAAGCTTCTTGAAGTATTCTGTGCAATCGCAGAGTGGCGTCCCTGCATAACTTCTAGAACACAATGTAATACATCCCCATAGTCCCATAGTGTTAGCTCCACAGTACAGATGGGGAAAACTGAGGTCCAGCGAGGCCAAGACATGCAGCCAGAATACTCTTCCTCTCCTCTCCTCTCCTCTCCTCTCCTCTCCTCTCCTCTCTTCCAAAGCCACGTGGAAAAGCAGGTGTTCAAAACAAAGGCACAGCTGGCTCAATATGCTCTTTGGAGAAAAGAGCAGAAAACAGTTGGCAGAGCCTTGTTCAAAACACCCCTGGCACATCCCTGATATGGTATCTGAGATGCCATTGTTAGGATCCCTGCGTACGGACAAATATCCTACAACGTTAGGGTCAAAAGGGAATTTGGAGATCATCAAGTCTAGCTCTCATTTTACAGAAAAGGAAACTGAGGCTCAGGGCTGAGCTAGAACTGGTCTTGGCCCCCCAGAGCATGCTCATTCTGCAGCATTGAGTTGCCATTAGGAGACCTGCATCCTTAAAATGGATTGGGTCATCTTCCCATGGGGTGGCAGAGAGCATGTTCTCCAGGTAAAGCAGAATCAGGATTCGCACATCTGCCTGAGTCATTGGCAAGCGCTGTCACCGGCAGGGAGAGGTGCCTTGCGGGAGGGGACCGGAGCACTGAGTGTCAGTGGCTGGACAGTCAGAGGCACTTGGAGCCCCCTTGGAAGGCCTGCTAGGTGAAGTGAGAGCCCTTCATCAGGCTTGGCAACCCCCAACCTCTGGTCCAGCCCACACTTACGAGACATGACCTCGGGGATGCCCACTGTGGTGATGATCGATTGCAGAAGGTTCTGGATGGACTCGGAGCGGCTCTGCCAATCAGAGGCCATTGGTGAGTGCTCCCTGGGAGCATGGAATTGTCCCAGGGCGCAGGTGACCACACAGCCAGGGTGAGTATTTGTCTACATGCCCCTCTATGAAGATGTATATCCAGCCCACCTCTCTCCTCCTGTCCCCAAGATCATTCCTACCCTGTCCATCCCAGGCCCTAGAAGGGCCAGGATTGTCCTACCTTTCCACAGAGAGAAAACAGAGGCCCAGGATGAAGCCCAGTGTCCTCAGTCCCCCACCCAATCCGCACCATCCTGATCCCATTTCTGCAACACAAAGGTTCTTTCAACAGATACATCAGGGGGCAAGGTCACAAGGAACACAGCAGGGACCATGTGGTCTCATTCTTTTGGTCCCGTTGCCTGATTTCATTAGGGCCTTCTGTCTGCTTTCTTTAAGACATCAGTTCCTGTAGGGCTATTTCTCCCAGTTTCCCCAAGACCACTTACCTCACTCAAGTTGGAAACAGTGTTTGTCTTAATCCTAAAATCAAAAAGAGATGAGAATTTGACCCTCTCTTGGGTCCTTCCTGTAACACCCCCAGAAAAGAAACTCTAGGAATAATTCTAAGTGCTCCTGTCTAAATTCAATACCCCCCATAAGAGAACCCTTAGAGTGCTTTCTTGGGAGTGGTTCTGTCTTTCTGCTAGGTCCTCCCTCCATTCCTCACGGTACCTCTTCTCCCTATTTAAGACTCTAGGTGAGCATCTTATCTCCCCACATCCAACCCCAAGTCCTGGAAGGAAAGAGTTATATTTTCTCACCACACCCCAGTCCTGCACCTGACACCAGAGTGGCCAGGGAGAGACTTTCTGAGCCAACCACCCCTTCCCCTCTCTGCAGCACATACTGGAAATCCAAGAGTCTTAAGAAGAGCTTTTTCTTGGAATAGGAGGCCTGGACAGTAGTGATGACATCCTGGGGAGAGAAAGCAGATTTGCTGTGAGCCAGAGCCTCTCTCCCAGCCCAAGACCATCGATACCGCTCTAAGCAATCAGACAGGCGTGGGGAGAAGGAGATCCTGGGGAAATCTTGGGATCAGACCTAGCGACTGGTCTTCCAAACACTGAGGGAAGTTCCCCAGCACCTGTGGCTTTGGGGTTAGGACTGAGTGGTCACGTGGGCATGTCCCATCCTAGTTTCTGACTTAGTCACATTATTAATCACTTCTTGCTGGCTGGTCAGAAACAAGCATGGACCAGGATGGTTAGGCATGGCTCCCTTCCTCCACTTCCCCAATGAAGCCATGGCCAAACGAGATGAAGCTTCCTCTCCTGGTAGTTAGGTCTATCTGCATTTCTACACGCTAGAGACTACATACTCTACTGGGTCATCGGAAAAGTCAAAATGTATTTTTCTATGCAAAAATGTGTCATGACTTTTCGGATGATCCAATAGATTGGAACAGCTCCAAGTATGGCCCTTTGACCGCAATGTCATTGCCGCAAGAGAGGGAACTTAGAAATGCAGTTCTCACGCTGTGCCCAAGACCTAACAAATCAGAACCTTTGTGGGTGGATACATGAGTCTGTGCTTGAACAATCCCTCCAGGTAATTCTAACGTACACCCCAGTTTGGACATGGCATTGGGTAACTTCAAATAGCTCCTTGATTTCGAGTTATCAGTTGCACAAGCACTTTCCCTGACCAGACTGAATTAGATATTCTATAGTTTTCTGTTTGACTAGTGACTTGTTTATCTCTGCCCATTACTCTAAGCTTCATGAGGTCAGGAACATATGGGCCAGGCCCAAAGTAAGAACTTAACAGATGTTGTTGAAAATGATTAAGTGTGGGCTAGCCCTGCAGTCTAGTGGTGAAGGAAGCCAGATTCCACATGGCTGACTGTGTGGTTAATATCCTGACCCTGGTAGCTTGAGAAGCATACCAGGCATGTGGGTCCCCAATCTCAACAGGATGGAGAAATGGAAGAGAAAGGATTGCAGAGTGACCATGCCCCAGTAGAGGGGATGCTTACTTCCTCTCTCTCTCTCTCTCTCTCTCTCTCTGTGTATCTCTTTGGCAAGCACACGTGCCCTCTGGCAAGTTAAACAATAATAATAAAAGCAATTTATCAATTAAGGAAAGTAAATGACTGACTGAATGAATGTGCTGAGGATATAGAAACTGTTGACTCTGGTATGAATGCGACTTGTGATCTTGAACAACCGTGGTTGATTCTAGGCCTCTGGAGCTCCCTCTGTACAGTGAAGGGGTGGGCCCAGCTGACCCTCAAGAGTAACTGCACTTCCCATCATTCCAGAAGGGGCTCAGTTTGAGACCTCAGCAATCCAGCCATCCTTCAACAGCATCAAATATGTCGTCTGTTCCCACTCCCCACTCCAGAGCGTTCTGTAGTTCTGCTTCCTCCTTCAGGCCTTTCAGCCTCACGGTCTTGACATACTTTGAATCCAAAACAATTCCTTCCCCTAAGCCACACTGGAATTTCCCTTCTCAGGCCCTATTTATATCTTTCCCTTGGCCAGGACACCTTCCCGCAGCCCTGTCCCTTGAGATGTAGCCAAAACTGCCTTCTGAAAGCATTCTACTAATGGTTTCGATATGGTTTGTCCCCCAAAGGTTCATGTGCTGGAAGCTTGGTCCCCAGTGTAATTGTGTTGAGGTGACAGGACCTTAGGAAGTGGGGCCTACTGGATGATGTTTAGATCGTAGGCGCCCCATCTTCATGAATAGATTAATGCCATCTTGAGAGAAGAAATGAGATTGCTTTCTCTCAGAAATGGATTAATTCTCATGAGCACGAGTTGCTATAAAAGGAAGATGACTTCTCACAGGTGACGCTCTCTGTTTGCACACACACACACACACACACACCTCTTTCTCTCTGCTTCTGTCAGCCATGTTGCAATACAGCACTAGAGGCTGGCCAGATAGTAGCCCCATGCTCTTTGACTTTCTAGAATCATGAGCCAAATAAACATCTACTCTTTATAAAACACCCAGTCTTGGCTATCAATACAACACTCCCTTCAGATTTGGCCAGGCATAAGTCCTAGTTAACACAGGTTTCTAAAAACTGTTAATGTACACAGACTGATTCAAAAGTAAGAAGGGAAGTCTTCAGGAGAAATGAGAGAGGAGGACTAGAAAAGTCAAGGTGGGGGGCCAGCAGTGGCATAGTGGTTGGGGCGCTAGACTCCCACATGGTCAACTGCAGTTTGAATCCTGGACCTAGAGGTCTGAAACTCATGCTGGGAGTGTGTGCATGCGTGCCTCAAATCCCAAGTAGAGAAGGGATTACAACATGGCCATCCCCTCTGGAGAGTGATTTCTTACTTTCTGTCTCTGTCTCTCCAGTGAGTATACAAGCCCTATGGCAAACATCTCTCAAAAAAACAAAAAAGGATAGGAAAAGTCAAGGCAGGAAAGGAGGAAAGGGTGGTTGGCAGGTGTTTGTTATAATATAACAATAATTCTGTGCTTGACCAAACTTTAATTAGGCTCCTGAATCTTTTTCTAGGCCCATCTGTGCATCTTTATAAAATCCAGGTCTAGCAAGAACCCCCTACTCTTGATAACTGAGCACCCTCAATACTTGATCGGGTTCTTCACTCTTCCCATTCCTCAGGTGATGTCTGATCACCCTGGCCTGTCCTCAGCAAGAATCCTATTAGATCAGTTCAGCCAGAATGCTTTCTTTTTAAAAAAATTTTAAAGATTTATTTTATCTATATTTTATTTTTAAATTTGACCAGAGAGGAACAGAGAGAGAGAAGAAAAGAGAGAAAGCAAGTTGCCAGGTCTGGGACTCGAACCACCATCGGCCATGTGGGCGCCCAGGGCCCTTAACCACCATGCCACCTGCGGGCCTCAGAATGCTTTCTTT